TGTGGAGAGGTGAGTCAGTGGGTGCAGTGTGGAATGCCTCAACTTTCACCTAGTTTGCCTTCACGGTGTTGGCTGCCTAGAAATTTCCTTTCACTACAACAGTTGCCTTAATAGTAACATTGAGCCAGTGGAATTTTTTGTAAGCTTTGTTGTAGCGATACAGGAGATGCATCAGAAAACAACAAAATCTACTGGATATTTTTTATATGTACGCAACAAAAGGGCCCCTTTAGTTAGGGAAACTGCTCCAATTCTGCTCACTCCCACTCTTTCTGGTTGGGTGGAGTTTTTATCCCATATTCAGGGTAGTGTCACAGGTTTGTCGAGCTTCCCTTTCATTGCTTTAAGATTGTGTGGGTATGCGTGTGTGTGCGCCCGTGTGTGCTTCATGCTTCAGAATACAAGGTTGTACTATCTTTCGTTCTCCTAGCTCCTGTTGAGATGGAAAAAGAACACTTTCACTGTGGTATGCAGTCGGTGCTGCTTTTAGCTGTGCTGTGCATGAGTTAAACTGTAAAGAGCTCGTTTGTATTTATTGTTGAGGCGAGGGAGGAAGACTATTCTGTCGTACAGCAGGTCAGTCTAGTTGTGAGAGTCGTCCAACAGGTAGACCCTTGATCTCCTGCTGAGATAATTGTTCTGTTGATCAGTGTAAATCAGTGGTGACAAATGTTATTAAATAACTATTTTTGTTTAGCAGCTTTGATGGTTGTAGTGATCTGCTATCTAATGATGCATTGATCCAGAAAAAAATTGTGGGGACATTTTTTTGATGTGGTCGAAAGTATTGAAATTTGCTGAGTTGATGTGGGTCTACTTAGGCTAAATGTCTGTAATAGTAATAATAATAATAGTGCCCCCAGAATGTTACTATGAAATTGAGAGAAAGACGTACATTAATACATGTGCAGTAACGTTTCCATTACCTCTTGGATTTCCCTTGGCCGATAAACATCCTACAAGGTGTTGCATCCTACATTACTTGATATCATGTGTTCAGTGTGAAAGGCACTGGTACTGGCACTTACCACAGGTGATGCTGGTTGAGCAGACACTCATTTGACCCCTTTTCTTCTATCAGATACGGCAGGAGACTTGCTTGTACACACGGCACACACTACTATGGTTTCTAGTACATCTAGACTTGTAGCTCAGGCAGGTCTGTATTAATTTGCCAGCAAGGGGTCTGCCTACTTGTGGTTATAATCAGCAGCTGTACATAATTATTACATCATAATACATTCAGACTTTCTCTTTGGATCAAATGGGGAAGTGATGCACAGCATCGAGCATAAGAACACCCATTGTGACCTTCTGGGAGCCCCGTAAGCAAATGTCTGAAAACCTGAATGAATTTCTGCATTTGATGTTTTCACTTGATATCCCAGGATGGCCTCTGTACAAATTTGAACCTTGCATTTTGCCTAAAAGAATATTATTTTGTATATACTGGTGAAGATTGAAAATATTGTGTGGTCTGTATCTTGAATTCCTTGTGCTTTATTTTATAAGACCTCAGTTTGTTGTACATTAGGGTGTTTATGCACTCTCTTTATGGGGAAAATTATGTAGTCAATTATATAATCAAATTATATTTAAGTTGTGTTTTTCCACTACCGTTCTATCAGGCTATTTTAGTCATAGTTTGAATATCTCTGAAGTCTTTGTTTCACACTCTGAACACTGAGGATCTGTGCTCATTTCTTTTAAGCTGTGTCTTTGCACATTGAAATGTTAAATCCCTTCCTGCCAGTGACAGTCGCTCCTTTTTGCACCTGCCTGGTTGAAATGCATCAATGTGTTTCGTCTTTCTTCTGTTTGTAGCACATGTCTATGTAAAACTGCCGTTAACACCAGCACTTCCATAATTGAGAATTTGCAGCATAGTGCGGATGTTAAAACTGCTGTTTTGTTCAGACTGAACTGACAAAGGTGCCTTTTTATGTGCCCATTTGTGGGACTTTAAAAAAAAAAACCAAAGCAATGCAACATTTGATAGCTGCACATGTAAGACAGGACACTGCTGTCTGTAAGTTCAGCCGATTTTTAATGTGTATATTGTATATCAATTTAAATGTGGTATGAGTATTTAGTTTAGGTTACCTTTTACATTCATTTGTGGATATTTATGACAGTTTAAGTTTGAGGTAGTGGGTTTAGTTGTACTCATTTAAGTTATGACCAGCAAGGTCAGAGAAGGTCATGAGTTGTTAATGGTAGTGGGTTTGTATCCTTGATGTTTCAACATGTGACTTTTTATATTAAAAATATTTTCTATAAATTTCATGCCTCAACCAAAGCTTGCTGGTTTTTTCTTTTATCTATCTTTTATCCCTCCAAAGTTGTACACTAACATGTTGCACACAATGTAAGATGTTTTCAATTCAACTCACTTTTATTTTATTTATATAGGAGTAGCTTCAAGAGGGAAAAAAACTTTTTTAACAGGAAGAAACCTCAGACAGAACCAGACTAGGGTAGTTGCAACCAACTGGTGCAACTGGCTGGGGGGAGGCTAAAAAGACACTGGAGAGAGCAGAGCCTCAGCCTATGACTGAGGGAGGTTTCAGTGTCACCTGATCCAGCCTCAACTATGAATTGAATATTGGAGAAATATGCTCTCTTCTAGGCTCACTTTGGGTTGATTAAGATGTTCTTTGTGCTGGAAATACATTTGATTTTAGGTAAGGGAGGTCTTTTGGCAGATTCCACATTCAGCAGCACACAAGGCCCTCTTGTTAGCTGTGGTGATCTTGTGTGGTACTGCCCATCAGACTTCTTGTAGTTTGCCAACGTAACAGTGAATATACTTATTAAAAAGTAATTCATAACAGCTCAGCTGCTGTGTTAGATAGTTTTTCTCCTCTTGGCCTTTTATAACCGTGAGAATATATATCCTTAATGCCTGTTTCTGTGCTTCATGCACTGGATTGAAGTATGACTGAAACGACTTTGAAATGACTGACCCTGGGAGTCTTTGCATACTTGGATTGAGCAGCACCGGTTTACAGACTTGTACCAACCACATGCTTCCATAGAGTGCCAACTCATACTTCTGTACTGTCTGGTCATTAAGAGGAGTTAATAGTGGGATTTGTGAGGACTTTGATGGTAACTAAAAAACAAAAAACAAAATCTTGCTTTATACAGCATTTGCTGCCTCCTAGTGGTGGCAAATTAGAAAATAATTAAGGTAGAAGCCCTTTTGTTAAGCTTAGTGCGGATTAAACTCTCTACATTTATGCCTTTAAAATGCTAAATTGTTCCTGAGAAAACAATGTGTTTTAGAGTAGGTCTCAGCACATATTATCTAGTATAAAGCTTTAAAAGTGGGCCAACAGCATTTTAAAGGTGTGGCAGAAGGGGGCGCCATTATGCTACTGCAGTTTGTGAAGAGCTGGAAACGTAATATTTTAAACAGTCAGTTATAGAGCCGCGCTGAATTTACTTGGAGCGAGCATCAACGTTTTCAAACTTGTTTTTGATAGTTTCTGTGAAACTAGAAAATGTTTTACTTTAGAAACACAAAATCTGGCTAAACAGGGAATGCTAATGATGCAGATGTTAAAAAAAATATCAGTGCAATCCTACAAAACACTCAAGTGTGTACTCTGAACATTCTGTTAGATGCTGGAATGACATTACAGCAATGTAAACAACCACTGCATTAAGTCAAGAGTTTTTAATGTAAAAAATACATTGTGTTGCAGCTACAAGATCATGGGTACTGTGTTTGAGATGTGATCAGCATCAACAATTTACTAGCCACTCCACCTACAAATTAATAAGTCTAAAAAAAAAGTAATAAATATAAACTGATGATATTTATTTGTTTTGTTTTGTTTTGTTAAAAGCAGACACTTGTACCTGATAATTGAAAAAAGAAGAAAAAAAAAAGAGTTCCTCTCATAGTACTTAAAAAACAACAACAACAACCCTGAAACAAATTTCAGGAACATACATTAATCTCAATGACTGTAACAGGAGGCGTGGCTGTTATACACTCTTCTGCAGATGCTACTTCAGTTAAAAGTGCGATCACATTTTGTCAAAAAACACAAACAAATGATCCCCTTGTACAAATAACAAACCATATATACTGTTTGTTAATTCTGCATAGAGAGAACCAGTTACAGCTTTAAGAGTCCACAACAAACTTTCTCTAATACTGAAGGAGCAAAATGTAAACTGTCATCTCAAATTATCACCCCAAAAAAGAAGGCGATACTATTTAAAGCCACAATCCTTGATGAGAACTGACGGCCTGCTGCCCATCGGCTTTGGTTGTTTTAAAGGATGAGGTCCGGTCAGTGTCGTTACGTGTGTCGTTAACAAGCGTGTGACAGTGTTAGCGCAAAAAATAAAATAAAATAAACAAAGTATAGGGACAAAGAGTTAAACGGAAAATGACAGTGTCAGTGCATCTCACTGTGCTCAGAAAGGCATCTATAGTTACATTCCTTGTAAACAGCAAAACTGAAAGGCAAGAACAAGGATTGTGCCTTTTTAAATAACTTCCTTAATATTCCCATTGACTCATGAGTACACACCAATGTGTAAACCAGCTGATCGCGCATGTGTTCAAGAAAATGTCCATAATCTCAACATTTAACTTTAAATGTTCTGTCTAAATATCAAATGTTTGTATAAATATTTTTCACCTAATGTTCCCTTATTCTCAAAGCTCACAAGAACAGTATCAAAATACAACATAAAAAAAACAACAACAAAGAAGCTTATCTAAAAATCAACCTACAAACACTTGGGAGGGTTTCGTCACCATGGTAGCAGCAGAGAGGCGTGGCAATGGTACTGCTCCATTTCCACAAAAACACACTGCGGAAGTGTCTGGAATACTGTTCCCACCAATCCCATGCCTTTACTGCCAAAATACTCCATAAATTACACTTTTACTAAAAAATAGAGTTTTTTTGTTCATCAGCATAAGAATAAAAAAAAACTAACAAAAAAAACCAATCCAGTGTGTGTCATACAACCACCTTGCCCTTGATATCCAGCTTGGTGTTTTCATTCGCTTTGCTGGACTGTTCCTCTGTAAGAGTGATGTACGAGTACACCAGGCTGCCAGCAATACTGCAACAAAATTGAGAGAGGTGACATGAAAATGTTGTATCAAAACAACATTAAGAGAACATGCTACAGCACATCAAAGTTGTAGAACTAGAAATAAGATCCAGCTGACACATCTGAATTCCCGCCGGGCTGGAATACAATATTATCTGTGTCAACAGAAACTTTTTATTTTCCCACCAGAAGAACAGATGCTGAGAACAGTTTGTATTTAAACTAAGAAACAAGAATTATCATGCTAGTGCTCATCATGCTATATTTAATCAGACTGTTTCTGTATCAGATTTTTCATACTTCAACAGAAGTAACATTTTGTGCATAAAACTGAACCCCTACAGCCCCTCCTGTAAGTGGTGTGATCACAGGAGGGCAGACTTGTAACTACTTCAGGCTAAGTCTGTTCAGGCCCCTGTGGGCCATTCCCGGTTCCATGGTGGGACCCTGGAAACAAAGTCCCAGGCAGGATAAGCTGGTCCAGTGATCTTTTGGCTCATATTGGTTTTCTGAACCACTCCCAGTTTCCTTAAGGAGACCCAACCAGGGGAAGATTGCCATTCACAACATAGTTTCTGGGATCTTTGGAAAACACAAACCCCTCTGCCACATTAAGGTGGCAATTCACAGAGGGGCAGTGGCCCAATCCTCAGCTTCTAGGACTAGCTAGCAATACATGGACTGTAACTTCTCTGGTGAAGCTTGTGGTGTATGGGGTTGAGATACTGATTACATATAGTTGGGATCGGTAACCAGTTTCTTAGAGAAGAACTGGACTTTGTTCCACTTTGGAAGTGTCCCAGATCAGATAGCGAGCAGGGGTGGATATACTTGCATTCTACTACTACCAGAGAATATGCTCCAACTACACGGGTCCTGGGTTCTCACTCCCCTAGGGGAAGGTCTATGCCAGGGTATCAGAGAGGAGGGGGTGACATTATTTGACCCTCGGATTCAGGAGAAACATGGGATCTGTTTACCTTATGTTCAAACCTAAGAAGTTAGTCCATGAGAAAATGTAGTCTCCACTGAGTACCATTCCAATGTATGTCACCAGGACATTCTGTAAAAACGGAGAAAACATTAACAAACCTGAGCATTTTGCATTGTTTTGTATTCAACAGTTCCCTCAAGCACGCAGCTCACCTTAATACAGCCCACGATAGTAGTTGTTAATGCTGAGTTGTACTGTGTACACAGCACAGTGGAATACATCAGAATAAACCTGGGAAAAATAAATAAGTAATCATGTTGTAAATCACTCAACGTTTATTGGAGCCTGAAATTGGATTTCAAAATGTTAATGCAACATTGTAGACAAGCTGTAAGACAGAACTGAGACTGCAAGAAAGAGCTATCAATCTGTCAATCCTTTCCATGAAAAGAGCTTTCATGCAAGGGATCTAAGTCACGGGTACAACAATGCAAACAACTCAAACAAATCACAGAAATTTGCCATCATCCAGATGTTGCACTGATACTGAATTCATGCATGCCACATTTCATCTCAAGCCTGTAACTTACCCCATGACACACGACAGAGTGAACTGGGTGAGGAACAATGCATCCGACCAGCCCTCATATTCCACTGCCTGAAAGGAGAAGCAGAGTATGGGAAACACAAACTGAAACAAATACATTAAACATTATATTTGTTTCAACATTAAAAGCAAAGGAAAAAAAACGATTGAAACACATTTGATTAGTAAAGTAAAATATTACTATAGTGGTTTTTGATGTGTAATGTCACGCATTCACTTAAAGAAAGTGAGCAGCCTAAAAACTGAGGCGTTTTAGTTTATATCCATGGTGGTTGCTCAGTCAAGGGAAGTACTTGATGCTGCTGTAATAACTCTGCTAGGTGCATAATAGCATCTTTGTGCCTTTCTGGCTGCTGGGCCCCAGCTGGGCAACCCAGAATGTCTGCCAACACTGACCAAATGAAAAGACAGCTCATATTTACGGCACACACCCATGCTTAGACATATGTTCGCTCACTTAAATGCAGGATTAAACCAAGCAATAACTGGTCGGTACTGAAATCATAACAGCTCTGGTAAAAAAAATTTTTAAAAAAGCATTAATTTAACAAATATAGTGTTAAAGTAGTAGAAATAGAATAATAAATGCTAACTCCTCACCTTCTGCATATCTCCAGTCACATGAGCCAACAGCAGAGTGGGAATTATCATAAATAATGCATTGTAGTACAATAATCCATATTTCCCCAACTCCTGAAAAAATGAAAAGGGTAGAGAAGCAGGTGGGAAGGGAGCAACAGGAAAACACAAGTAATATGCAGAGCCGGAACAGAGTGCTATTCACAAGCCTTTCAGTGCATTCCTCACTAAGTAGCATACAGATGTCATGCATGGCACCACCTAAGACTTCTTGTGCATGCTCTGTTTCACATGGCTTCATCGGCTTCACCCCCTCACTCATACACACCCCTCTCGTGGTTGGAGCTCAGTCCTAGGAGATGGCGCTCCATAGGCGTCATACACTAAATTTGGATCGGCCCTTGCAGAAACGTGAGAACTGAGTAGTTCAGTTTGCCCTTGTGACATTAAATATGACTTGAACGAGCTTAAACAAGATATTTCGGAGTCAGTCCAAACAGATCTGACGACTAATCTTAAAAAAAAAATGTTTAGTTAAGCACAACGATATTTTACCACAACAATGAATCACAAATATTTTCTCTTAATCTAATCAAATTAGCGGGAGTAAAAAGAACTGACTCAATGTATTTCCACACGCCAAGTTCTTTTGAGCAAGATACTGAAGGACAGTTCGAGTTCTCTACATTCACACGTAATCAGCTCAATGCCAAATACAGCTCCCACCCAACAATGGTCACTATTCATCAGATGCTGCCATCACATACCTTTGCGTCTAATTTTTGCTTCACATAGGCTCCGTTGGCTGCAGTCAGGATGTCGTTCAGGAGAATGAACATGTAGCCTTGCAGATCAAATGATAAGTCAGCACTAGCATCAGAAAGAAGAAAAGGCAATCGAAAGTGTCAAGAAAATAATAATGTGTTCAGTTGGCTAACATTTAAGCTGTAGTTAAGCTGCGTTTAGGCAGGGCTCCTTTACAACATGTGTCTAACTTCCTTGAAGATAATAGCAACTAAACGTGGACCTATATCCCGACAAAGCATCTCTTTGTAGTGAAGGTAAATCTTGGTTAACAGCCAGCACACCTGGATTTAGTAGAACTTACCTCGCAGCTATAAATGCCCCAAGGATCATTGTAAACACTGTCAGCTGAACTGGTCTGGAGAATTTCTTCCTGCCACAAATTAAATACAGTAAAGAAATTCAATATGACCACTTAGAACTGGAACCGGACAAAAAAAGGACCAGTAAATGGCGAAGAAAAGTAGGTTATCTGTTGTGTGTGATCTTACTTGAGCAGAAATCCCTCGGCCAGCATAGTGAATAAGATCGAGAACCTCCTGAGGACTGTAAACATGGGCAGACTGGTGCACCAGGGCGTAAACGGTGACAGAAAATCCATTAAACGAAAAACATCAACATTAATAGCCAAATAGTTTTTAACTGTGTGAATTTTTACAAAATGTGGAGCTTACTTTAGCCTTTTGGTTCCAAATAAACCAGTGATTTGATTTCCCACATACAGGAGAGGTAGAGGAAATGTCTAGAAAAGAAAAAAGAAAAAAAGGATAGGGAGGTTTTGTTAAGTAGGAACAGCTCCAGCATGGTTAAATTAATTATCTGATGGACAGGCAGCGATCACCATAAACCTGACCTATTCCAGTTTTTTTTTGGGGGGGGGGCAATGCCATTTTTCAAAGGGTGAAGAAAAAAATAAAGGCTAATATATCTAATGCATATAGAGTATGCTAGTTTTCAGCAATATATTTCAAGATCTAGTTAGACACAGCTTGACTTAATGCATAAATGCTTTGAGGTTACAAGCCACTTACTCTATGTGTACAGTGCTTAATGTGTCACACAATTTGGGGTTCAATATTTAGCCCAAAAACATTTATACCTTTCCAATTAAAAGATAATAACTCCCTCTACTTTCTAAACCACAGTCACTTCAGGTACTGCAGACACTGCTAAACTATTTCTAATGAATCCGTTTTCTTTTTTTTAATATATGTCAATACTGATATGCTATTAATGGGCAAATAGTTGCTTATATTGGCAAAATTATACATGTTAGGCCTCTGCATTTGATATTTGGACTGTTTATTAAGAGATGAACAGACTGCATATAGACCTCTGGAAACTAGTAATAAATGACTGGTACTCTTCATTTAGAATATGACATATATAAATAGACAGGTGAGACTCACCTTGCGAGGTATGGTTTCATCGCAGTCTGGGAAGCTGATCACCCTTGCAGCCTTGCCCACCCACAGCACAATCACCGTGGCTAACATCTGCACAGAGATTCATGAAGAAATCAGTGTCGATACCTGCCTGGTTTTAAGGTGTGGTGTCTAGCTTGGTTAACAAAAAAAGAAGAAGTTACACGTATCACGTACTTGTCCTATTCCGACACATATCGACGACGGGAACCTGAAAAAGTACAGATGAAACTCCTGTAAATTTTAATGCTTTAGAAGTTCAGCACACTGTAGTTAGTAAGCTAACCTCGTACTTAACACTCAAGGGTTAAAATGTTGTCCAACACAGGCAACAGAAAGAGAGGCTCCCTGCAGTGTGAACGACAAGATTACCATCACTGGATAAAAGTTGCCGTTAGGCTAATCAGCACCGTGGTGTTGCCTGCTCTGCTCAGCCTGCACAACTTCCACAAGCTAGGTTAGCTAGCATGGAAACAGCTTATCGACCGTAACCGTTACATGCGTTACCGCTATGCCGTTACCTGTAGTTAGTGAGGACACTCTTGTTCACCACGACGATCAAGAACGAGCTGAGACCGTAAAACCCGGCGGCAAACAGCTTCACGACCAGCGTCGGAGGTTTGTCCGCCATCCCCGACAAGTTCTCATTCCTCTCTGAGAGTCGGCTCTTCCCCTGCCCATCACTTCTTCACTGTAGGCTCACCCACCTACACACACACACACACACACACACACACACACACACGTTTCACAACTTCCGCCCCAAGTCTGAGCATCACATTACTCGCAACAAATTTAATCACGAAATTTAACCATGAAATGAACGAGTTTTTTTTTGTTTGTTTGTTTGTACAAAGCTAGCACTGCGAATGAAATCACCAGCCAGGCTTAGCTTATTTTTTGCATTCTACTTTCTTTTGACATGGAGCATTAAACTTAAAGCAAGAATTAGACAGATATTTGATCTTTTCCTGCAGCTTTATTATCCCCCCAGCTTTCCCAAACACATCTGATTTACAGGCAGCTCGGCACTTCCCGGTTTTTAACCTGACATGTGATGCGATTAGTCCAATCACAAATTAGAAGGGGTTTTTTTTGTTCTTTATTACATGTAATTGGGGGTTAGGCGAGATAAGTTATTTATTCACCACATTTCAAACACCACAGCTATTCAAGATAAATTCAAAATCCAAGATAAAAGATAATAACGGCAATAACAATAAAAACAACAAAAATTAAAACAAGGGAGATGGCACAGCTACACTGTTAGTTAAAAGCAACCGTGAATCTAAAGCTGTGCTCTTTACAAAATAGCTAGGGTTGGAGACGATGTGACCACAATGGGTAGCTGGTTCCAAAATGCCCAAATGCAATAGATATTTATTGAAAATGTTTATGGTGGCAACTACGAAGGCTATAACTAGGCATTGCCTCCTACAGGGCAATGGGTTGTTTGGAAGAATTATAATAAAAATACATTAAAAAAAAAACAAAAATATACATATGTGAACTGCTAGGTAACCAGATCTTGCAGACCTTAGAGATCTACTATGTTTGTATACATTAAACACTATAGATTTATATTTAGGGCCAAAATCATTCAAAGATGTATGAACAATCTGTAATATTTTAAATTCAATTCTGTATTTTACTGGAAGCCAATGCAGGGAGAAGACAATTGGAGTGATATTGAAGGCCAAGGAAAAGATCATTGCAACAGTTTACAGAAAAACAGGCATGAATGAGCTTCTCCAGATAAAAATATCTCTGTTTAGCCAAATTACTAAGATCCCAAAAGGCTGATTTAGTTACAGCACAAATATAGTCAGTGAAACTAAAGCCCGCTTTTATTGTTGCACCAAGATTTTTCACACAAGTTTTAGATTTGTGGTTTTACATATACAGATATAAAGTTATAAGTAACCCATGCAATTAATTGCATGAATCGTATTTCACACTATGATCACGTGCAGCAGCAGTATAAAATGTATCTCCAAAAGTTGATTCTGTACATCTGGACGTAGCGTTTTCAGTGGGAGAAACATTTTGTCACTCATCCAAGTGACTTCTTCAGTTTCTGGTGACTACAGTCACCCAGTCTTCTAAACAGTACATTTGCATAATGACTGTTGTTGATCAACAGTCATGAGAATTTGCATAATCATGATGAAGGAACTGACCTCCCAGCCCATTGTTCCTTCAGTGGGCTGTTTTCAGTCATTAAACACAGCACATGACAGGAACAAGTATGTTCTGGAGACAACAGAGCTCTGAGGGTCCCCTGTGCCGAAATATGCTCACCTCACCGACTTCCAAGGTGCACGTTCAGAGGTTAAAGCTACAGCAACATGTGTAGGAAATGTCATAACTTTATTGTTTGACTAACATATTTTCAGCTTATTGCCTTCATCATGACCCTGATGAAGTAATAAGCTGAAATTTGTCAGACAACAATAACTTGTTGATCCTTGGAGAAAAGGAATAGGTTGTCAAGCTGGGCCGTTGTTGATGGGGGTTTACTTTTCTTCCTTGGGCTATTCCTGATTAGTTTGCAGCAGCATTGAGGCCACAGCTATTGGGACGATTAGAAAACGTGATGCTTTTATCCCAAACATGAATGGATATTAAAAGTCTTCTGGATAATGAGTTTAGATAGTTAAAGTTCACACAGATTTACACAAAACTGGTGAAGGTGAATTTGATTCAAAGCAGATAATTTTTGTTTTCTTTCAGTCTAGTTTTAAGAAAAAATGCCAGACTGTAATATCTCATTAATTGTTGGATGGATTGTGTTGAATTGTGTTTTATATTTGTGACTCTTGTTAAAGATTATTAACAGTTTTAACATCTGTCACTTTAATTAACAGGTTGTATGTTAAACCTAATTTTCTTTCCTATATTTTGAGGGTTGTAGATTATCAAGGCTTGAAATAAAGCATTAACGCAGACGCGGGAAATTTTAAGATAC